ATTTTTCTACTCATTAACACTACTAACATTAATTGAACCTGTTTTACCTACACAAAAATAAATGAAAAGAAAATTTTAAACTCTCCAAAAAGAATGACCCAAGGCAACAAAATGTGTAAGAAAGGGAAATGTAAGAATTTAATCTGGCTGCTCAGGCAAGTCACAGTTAAGTGATATGTTCTGAATTTAAACTTATACTAAAAAATTAATAATACCTTTGTCATTTAAATAAAGACACAATAAAAAACATGCTAATGTGCAAAGTTTATAAGTTGAAAAACTATTTTTAATGCAACTTATTTTTTTGTAATACCATATGGGATTTGTGTACAGTTATAAATCTTTCAATGCAGTTGATTTTACAATAGCAACAGGACAACTTTAAAAGTGAGATATAATATGTTCATATCTTTACAAGAAAAAGAAGAATGATAATGTAATTAATAATGCCAGAAATCCGATCTGGCTACAGTTCAATATTTTATGTCAGTGTACTGACTGACCTTGAAAAAGGTGTTAATTGATGAAGGATTTTTCTCTATCGAAAACCAATTACAGAACATAGGTTACATTCAGATACATCTGTATCAACCTCAGTTAAATTCTTGGACAAATGCAATACTACTCGGAGAGCTGTTGCTCTCAGAGTACAAAAATGCACATTCAATTTTATTAGTATAATGAATGACCTTCACATCAATGTCCCCAAAAGATCCTTAATTAAAAAATGCTAAAATAAAATATTAATATCTAATTAAATAATCAATTACTATTTAGCAGCATAGGATTACATTACTCAAAATAAATGAGAATCATCTGTGTCTTATCATCAGGTGAGTTAGCAGCATTTTGGAAATTATGAGTTTTTAACAGAACCTTTAAGAAAATTATGTAAAAATACAAACTGTCCTGGTAGCTGAACTTAGCAATTTGGCAGCTGCTCACAGTACGTTTTCAGTCTTTTAGAAAAACAGTAGCTGATTCAAAACATCCATCTTGTCAGATGATATGTTGTTCATATCCTTCGTTTATGGATACCATATGCATATACACTCTATTAGAAAAATTTCTGAGTATGATTACAAATAAAATATATTAAAGAAAAGAAGAAAAAAAAAACCAAAAAAAACCAAAAAACCAAGGCTCCCTAGACAGATAAACTGCTATTCTTGATAAAGCCTGATAATCCTTTTATTTGAATTTCAGATGTTCGTGAAAGGTAACAGTAATTGTGAGGATTATATTTAAAATAAAAATTTTGATGCTGGAATTGCAAAGATTAAAACTTTTCCTGGGAATAAATCTACTGAAGAATCATATTTCAGATCAAACATGCCATATCCTAGGCTATCCACCCTCCCATCATAACTTTCAGCAAGGTCAGTATTACACTATCCTTGTTAGTCCAGGCTATTGACCTATATGTCTAAAAAGAATGGAGGCTGCCTTGCTGCACATTGCCATCTCTCACACCATATAGCAAACTTATGTGAGCATCTTTTCATGTAATTCAAGAAATAAGTTTAAAAGGAATAATCCATACTTCTGATATCAATACTGATGAAGTTCCTACATTCAGCTGTTTCCAGGGCATTTCTTTTTCAGATGAAAAGAGTAAAAATCCTAAGTGTTCTGTACCACAGGTAACTTACATGGAGATTTATGATTATTATAATGATAAGAAACATGCTTGTTGACAATACCACAATGGTGAAAAAATATTTTGTGAGGGTCCAGTACTTTAGTGGATAAAAATGTGTACCTGACCTAACAGCCACCGATCTTATCTTCCAGTTATCCCACAGAGACACTCATGAATATCTTCAACACACAATCTACTTCAACTCAGGCATAAACTTGCCATACTATAGAGCCTCTCTAAAGGCAAGGATTAAATTTGAATTAGTAAAGACACTGCCTCCTAGGCTTTGAGTTTCAAAAATGTTCTTGCTTTTGGTCATTCACACTGGAGTTCAAATCTACATCTGATACATCAGCATCATAATGCAGACCCCACTGTTTTAGTGTCTCGGAATGCAAGTCTTTTTTGTTGCACACATAAAGAAATCTCTGTGATTTTTACTGATGCAACTGATGCTCAAATTTAGCTCTAATCCATGATCATTTGAATGACCTTTGATGCTTTATGGAATTACTACAGGTACAATTGCTGAAGGACCCTCACTAATGCTATCATTTTTTTCAGCCTACTACTGAAACAAATGCGCTTTTTTGTAGTGTTTACCACTGTTTCTGTTGCTTATAATCTTTTATGCATTTTATTTTCTTACTTTAAATTGTATACAATGAAAGAAGAAACAAAGTTCCCTTGTACCTCTTTAGTCTTGGGAAACTAGAACTGTTTTCCACCAAAAAGGAAGTATTCTAAATTAAGAACTAGGTCCTTATCCCATGTACTCACATTAAGCAGCACCTCATTCCTAAGAAGCCATTGATTTCATTTAGATTGTTCCACAGGATGCAGATCAGGATACCGCTGGAACGTTAAGTGCCTGTTTAAAGTCTCTCCTACACAGAGGAGCATGCAAATTGATTCAGACCCAACAAACAGAAGAGATACTGTTCTGAACTAGAAACATAGCAATAGCCTTTCGGTCCTTAACAGTGCAGAAGTGAATAAGTAAATCCTTATAAACAAATTATTTGAAGATTCTTTATTAAACCAGATTTAAAAGAACATTTAATGTAGCTATTTATCTGTAAAATTTAATAATGCTATTGTTCCTGTTACAAATTTTATTTTTATTCTTTAGAGTTTATTCTATGAGGCATTCAATGTCAGTTGCTAATGAAAACACTTGCTCTTGCTCTGTAGAATGCATGTAAAAGAAAAATAGATGTGGTCAGTCATCTAGAATGACACAAAACAAAACAAAATCAACCAAGCAAAGTAAAACATAGGAGAAACATATAAACAAAGAAAAAAGAAAGTTAATAAATCAGGAATAAAAACGAGGGAAAAAAAAAAAGAAAGAAAGAAAGAAAAAGGAAGCCTGTGGGGCTTATCTGATCATACTATACAATCAAAGCATATGATTCCAGATGATTTAAATGACCTGTAACGAAAGGAACGGTTAACTGTCTGTGAAATGCCAATCATCCTTAGTTGGAATGAAACTACTGCTTCAAGACCTAGTCTTAATCCCAGAGGAAATCAGGATAAAGTGTTCAAAAGTCTCTAGTCTAACAACGACACTGCCAAGAGAAAAGAAACTCCTCGGCACCACACCAATCTCAGCCAGTTAATGAGCTATGCATTCAATATGCAAATAAGATAGGAGGAGCGTAATTAGTGAAGCAAATCATCCACTATTTTCTGCAGTGCTATTGCAAAACTAGAGAGCGCAAAACTGTAAGAGAAAGCCTTTCTGTGAAATGGAAAAAAATTAAATATGTATTTCATGAAGACATTTAAATAACAAGTTCAGAAGAAGTTATAGATATTACAGAACAATAATGAAAGTTGTATTTTTGAGTGATAATATCTTTTAATAAATAATGTTAGAATGGAGTTAGTGGAGAAAAGTGCTACAGTGTGTGTTGCTAATTGAACGACTATAGCCTGAGCTTGAACTCATAATTTCTTTCTATATAGGGTGCTAGATGTCCTGTATGTTGAGGAACATTGGTAATTGGTAAAAGGAGTATCTATATTCCATATAAAGCACACAGACCTATATTAGTAAATTGTATGTGTAGAGCATGAATTTGTCAAAAGCTAATGTCACATCTGTCATGCAAATAAACCCAGCCTCTATGGAGACAGTGTAGACATTGTGCTTCTCTTGTTCTCAGAACCATTCACCTTGAGATGTTCATAAGTGAGACGGATTCTCCTATACGGTTTCCATTAATCTTCCACAATGTTGTCACTGCTAATATTCTACCAATTTATTTCTGGTTTCTGCTTTCTATCTTTTATTATACTTGCACTTAGAGATACGGGGATGTGGCAACAGTAACAATTAATTAATAAAACAGATAGACATAATAGCAGTCACATAACATTTGCATAAACAGATATTACACTCCTGTGCCTCACAAGATTTACCGTGAAATCCTATGATAATTTTATTTAGCTCAAAGGGAGAGTAGACTGATATGATAGTTTCCCATAAATCTTAAAAATACCTCTACAAAATATAATTACAGTGTCTATAAAAATGTCTATAGAAATGAGTAGTAAATGGTTTCTATTATTTTATCTATCTTCTAGAATTAAATAAAATCTTACCATTACCATAGTTCTAAAGCCTACAATATTATTCTATAGAACATTTTACACATCTGCCAAATAATTGTCTACAAAGCTCAGTTTCTTATTCACAAAATTCAGTGTGATGCTTAAGTAAGCAATCTGACACATCATGTAAAAACAGTAATACATAAATCACACTGGTACACTGCTCCAGCTGAAGTCCATCTTTATTAACATGATGTATCAATAAAACTAGTGACCCTGGCAGCATGGACTGGCAGCAAGCATGAAGTCCAGTGTTGTGCTACCATATGAAGCAACCCAAGGAAGTGAGGATAGCAGATATTTCCTCTACCAGGAAAGCCCTACCATAAGAGTTACCCATCAACTGTCTTATCAATTCCATAGACAATACTCAGGTGTGTAAGTACATTGAGGTGTCTCTATTCACTGAAAAAAAATCACTGCTTGTGTCATTCCTATCACATTCAGTGGCTCCGATATTCAAGGGTGAGCACAGAGAAACAACACTGCAGTCATGCACATAACTTACTCATTATCTTATTGCTGCTTCTTACATGAGTACTGCTAAGATTTACTCTCAAAAGATGATATATTAAAATAGACTTAGCGTCAACAGTATAAAATGAAATATCGAACTGTGGGAGTAAACGCAATACATATGTATGTGCGTGCACACACATACACACATTTTTGCTTTGTATAATCATTATCTTAAAGAAAAAATAAAAACTACTTACACCAGAATAGAAAGGCTCACCAGACACACAGATCACATCCTGCTCCTGGATCATCAAAATATCTTTGGCTAAGTGCAGTCGCACTTTGAAAGGCTCCTGGTTACCATCCTGCAGCAAACAAATCCCTGTCTTTGTCTTCAAAGGAAGGAATAAAGAAAAAAAGTTTTCTCAGTTAGCACTTTGCATTGCGAGACATGGTATTTTGAAACAGAATAGCTGAGAGATTAACTACAGTTACCATAAATATGCCAACAAATATTCAAAACTATTACCAATGATCAATGTATTTAGTGTATTCAGAGTACAAGGGAACAATAGTTACAGTAGCAACTAGTGAACACAGATTTTGAAGTAATAAGGTGTTATTCTGCCCATGATGAATTTGTGAAACTCCTTTCAAATTGCTTCAGAGCAGCTGTGCTCTTTCCATCTTTGTATTAAATGAAGATACCTCATATGGACATGAAATAAAAGCCGATGTTCCACATATTACACCATTTTTGACACAGAAATACATAAAATAACACCTCCAAACTAGCCAGATGTGAGCAGTGACAGCGTACGTGAACCTTTTGCTGACTTCTCCTGATCTATAAGCAAAACAATGACTTACGCTTTCATGTTCCCTTTCAAATGAGGATGTTGAAGATAAGAATAAGAGAAAAGAGATCAAAGATTGCAACTCCCACTAGTAACTTACTTCTTGCTCCACTTCTGTATTTCACGTTTATAGTTAGAAATCAGGAATTTTGTAGGATTATTCAAAATATAATAAGTGACTTCCCCACAATCTAACCGTGTCTTTGTGGTAGAATGTATTTGTGCTACTTTTGGGGGGCGTTATACATAACAGGTTTGAGCAGTGCAGTCTGCATGTGTAAGCACCTGCAGTATTTAGCAATTTTTCCCTGAATGCTGTGTTGAATATAGCACTCTTTATAGCACTTCATAAATGGACAAAAGTCATGTTGGTAGAGCATTTTTGGTATAAGAAATTTTTTTACAAACAATCTAAAAATTCAGCCTTAAAAACACGTAATTTACCGGTTATTACCTATACCTTTTTGCATAGATACAGATATGTATGCATGCATGTATGTATCTCAGAAGAAAATTCATATATAAAAATTACTTAAAATCTTGGACTCGTCAGTGTCAGTAACAACACTTCCATTGTCTTCATTCAGGTCAGATTTCAAGCCACAGCCTGTAAAAAGTTGGCTTGAGAGGAGATCAAGGAAACAAAAGTCTTGCTGTGAACTTTAGCTGCCAAGGTTGACCTGGCTGAATCTGAGGGCTCTTTCTCAGACAAGAGTTTAAAAGAGGATTTGGAAGATCTCCCCATAATGTGCTCTGATACCTACATCCATAGCATGGAGAGAACAAACACAAATATGGAACTGACAGTAGGCAACTGGCCGAAGAAAAGTTTAAATTGCTCTCAAGAGGCTTTAATAGAGGTGGAAAGGTCGAGGACAACCTTTAAATAGCTCTATATAGTGTTCTCCACTGACAAACTGTTCTGTCGCTTCTGCTCCATGCTAAACACTCAAACTTAGGAAATTGTTTTCTCTTGAACACCAGTAGCAAATCGTATAACTCAGCCATAACTTCAAGAAGTGGCTCTGATGTTGTTTTTATTCTTTTTAAACTAAGTAAGAAGAAGAAAAAATGAAGAGTTCCATGTACTGAACTCACAGAGGTCAGTGGAAGCTCTGGTCAGAAGACATGATACAGCCACTTTCTAGTATTTAGGTGTCTTTTTTTTTTTAAACAGGATGAGATAGAAACTGATTGACATGGACAGATAAGTCAAATAAACAGACCACAAAAGGAGTTAGGTTTTCAGTACCACTGAAAAATTCTGTCTCATATCATAGATAAAATGTTACAACGTTAAAATAAAGAGAATGTAAAATAGTTAAATTCCCCTGGTCCTCTCCTTAAAACTTCTGCTTTACAGACTAAGATGACTCCTCTTTCCCTGGAGTTGTGAAGTAAGTAGTAAGTGACAACGGAAGTTGAACAAAGCAGGTTGTAAATAACCATGATCAAATAAAAGGGTCTAGCCCACAAATATCTGCTGCTTATAAAACGCCTTTCTTCTGCAAAAAGTTTGCAGATGTGCCTTTCCTCCTCCCTGCATAACTGGCAATGGAATAAATTCTGCCTCTGATACAATGATTATAGAAACTCTGCCTTACTTGACTGCACACTTCTGATTTGGTCAATAACCCTTTAAAATCTTCAAAGAGTCTTTCTACAAAAGTTGAGGGGCTTCTTTGTGGGAATTAGAGGCACATAATCATAGCAGACAAAATTAGCCAATAGAATAAAATTAAAATTCAAGTTGGTTTCTAAATGCATGTGGGCTGAGCTTATTCAGTTTGAGCACGGAAACCAAACTTGGGAACAGCAAAATATTTTGGCCCTTGGAAAGATTGATCACACACACTCAAGGATCTCATTTACATCCGATACTCCAAAATGTAATGAACCACTTTACTGTTGTTAGGCTTTATGAAAGATAGTTTATGATACAGTTCAAAATTAAATCCAAAATTAAATCTTCAATTATGCTACCTCCTCCACTCTCTTACCTAAGAGCAGCATTAACATCCATGTAAAGGAGAAGAATGTAGTTGTTTCACTAGGCGAGCTCAAGAGAAGTCCTTGAGAACAAAGACTAGATTTTAATTATCTCATTATGTCTTTTTGTCTGCTGAAATTTCTTGTTTCTTCTCTCCCCCAACTCCCTTCAAAACATCCAGTAAACTGAATCAAATAAAGACATAAGCTCTTGCATCCTTTTCCAGAGCTGAAACTTAGGGAAGACGTCCTGTAGATATGCTTTCATGTAAATTACTGTGTACATCAACATTCTTCATTCACGTGGCCCCAGTAAAATTATTCTTGTTGGAGAGATCATTTGTCTAGCCTATATGCCTGCCATCTCTTACATTTGGAGAGCTTAGATAGTGTGTCTTCAAGTCTTCTACATTTCACTGGCGGAGGGCTCTACCCTACCCCTGACAGCAATAAACCAGCATACAGCATGTCAGCTGAGCTACTGTAACCGTCAGGGTGAGGCCTTGCAAGGCATTCTTTTGTGCTCAGATGTTTGACACACCACATCATCTTACAGCAGAGAAGCATAGTCCAGCTGGTAACAGTTTTTGTTAAGCCAATACACCTTGGCTGTATGCTTGAGCCAAAATCGCCACAAACATTTCTCTGTTTACATTTATACCACACTACATTCTTCACCCTATTTATAGCGTTTGGCACTTGGAAAGACGGCAAGAAAACTGACTGTTTGAAGATGCACATGTTTATGAAGTGGATGAGGTAGGCTAAGGAATGGATATGGAAGCAATATACAGTGGTGAAAGAATGAGCTTCCATATAGGAGAGGAGTCAGTGACTTCAGGCAAAAGCAGTGATGAAGGAAGATCTAAGTCACCTACGTGACAGAGGCAGTGAATGTTGCACCTGCACAGCACTGCCTCTGTCATCTCATTCTACACCTCTTGAAGTAGAGTTAGACAAGAACCCTGATGCGCCAAGAGCTGATGTCCTTGGCAGGACTTTAGAAACTGCTTATTGTTCCTGAACTACAAGAGGGGCTGAAAACTGATCCCTCTTTGCTTTGCCACACCAGTCTGTGTTGAACTTTCTGCTTCAGATCACTATCAGAGAACAGCAGAGGTTGGCAGAGCCCTCAGGGCAGACTGCTTCTACAAAGAACATGGTCACACTCAGATCATTATTAGCAACCTTAGTGAAAAAAGGTTATTTAAAAATCTTTTTCCATTATACCTCGCCTTATACATGGTTCATATCGGCTGTGTGTAAGATATGGCCCTAATAACGCTCCTAAAGGGAATTTAGAAATGCTTACATACCATAAACAGTTTGGTGCAATATACATCTTCACAAATATTTAAGAATTTATTTCAGAGGAAATACATATGAAAGCTACAGTTTATACATTTATGCTAACAGAAAAGTCTCTACAAAACATACACCAAAATGAATACTGTATGAGAAACATTTCTAAAGCTACCTAATGATTTTAAAGTCAATTTCCCACAGAACTTCCAACATAAATATTTTTCAATAACCTGGTCTAAATAAGGCACCTGACAGGTTTTCTGCTAAAGAGTTATTTTGTTTACATTTTTCCCTATTGGTTGTTATCCTTGTCATTTATGACAAAAAATAAAAAATTAAAACTTTTTCTATGCTTTGTTCTAGAGGAGACTTATTCAGTATTTCAGGCAATTTTAAATACTCCTCACTAGTTTTCAAGACATGACTGTATCTTTTTGTTTATGCTATTTTATCTATTTCTTTTGCCTTACGGTAGTAAAAGAATTCTGTTGGCTTGCTGCTTCTAGTTTCACATCAGTAGGAAGACTTCAACAGATACCCCAGAATAGTTATCATATCACAGATATCCTATAATAGTGATTCTGTGAATGGTCCATGAAGCAGGGGAAGAAAGGAAGAGAAAAAAAATCTCTGAACATATTTTCTATGCAAGGTGGCCTGGATTTTTAGTTTCTGCTTTGGCTGGTATGTCCCAAAATAAATTAAACCTCTGCAATTTAGGTTTAAGCTCTGAAATTTATTTCCACCATCAAGAATCTCATATCAGTAAGGAGAATGGGTTGCAGAAACTGCCTTAAATATGTACGTAGCTCATTTCAGATGCATACCTACACTTTTGGATGCTTATTTGAACTGAGGCTGACCTCTGAGTATTTGGAGATATGCCTGTCACTGCTTTATAATTGCAAGTATAATAATAAAAAGAGAAATTGAACCAGAGGCAGAAGGCAGTAATGGCAATGAATACAAGAGGTAGGAATATATGTCAGAACCACATAAAGGATGTTTTTTAAATGGTCCAGCTACTCATTTTGCGGAGGTGCTGCTAGCCTAAGTGAAAAGCACTTATATTGTCAAAAATTGGAAAGCAGCCAAGATACACAGGGATGTGTTCGGCTTGTCATTCAGAGCCTCTTCTATCAGACACCAAAATTTTCCAATCCAAAGGATAGCAAGTCCATTCCTGCACCTGAATTTTGCACTACAACCTGAAAGGACTGCAGGAAAATGCTAAATTTGGA